CGGCGGAGCGCCACCATCGAGAGGAGCGCGGGGCGGCCAGAGCGCCGCTGCTCGCCCCACCGCCCCCCTCCGGTGGATTCCTCCAGGTGGAGGAGGAGGAGGAGGAGGGAGGCGGGAGGGTGGAGGAAGGAGGGGGTCCTGGGAGGGAAGCTGAGGGCTTCAGAGCTCAAAGGAGCTACCAAGGGAAGGACGGTGCAGCCAAGTGCCGGCGGCTGCGCTCGTTTTCTCCTCCGGTTATGCACCAGCACGAGTCGCTTCAGCCGGTCCGTCCCTACTCAGCCCCAAATCCCAAAGGAACCGAAATGGAAATTAAGAAAGAGGGGAGAAGATTGACTACCCACGAGGTGGCACCCCGAGAACATGGCTGACGGCTGCGACGGGTCAGGAGAGCTGAAACTGCAATAATTAATTCAATGTAATATGCAGAACCTCGGTGTCCCGTCTCACCGGGCACTGAGCCGCAGCGAGGGCGACCCCTCCGGAGCGCGGCTTTGGGATGAATGACGAGAAGACATTCCAAATGCGGGGAACAGGCATGGGGGGAATGAGGGAATCGGCTCCCTTGGCACGAGTGTTACAGACGTGCCATGGAAGCACGTCACAGGTGAGCAAGGCGAGAGAAAATCGCCGGGTAGGACTCTCCTGCAAGGTGTCTCAGGTCCCGCTTATTGGGTAAAACCAGGATTTGTTAGTACCGGCCGTGAGGCCGCTTCCACGCACGATCCGCTGTGGCTTTATTCGCCGCCAAGCGCAACCTCCTTTGTAAAAAACCCCATGCCTCACCGGCCGATGCGCTGTAAGTCTGCAGGCGCCTGCCCGCCCGCAGCGGCTCTCGGCTTTGCTCGCGCGTGCCCTGGGGGGATACAAGAAGAGGCTTCGCATCATTTTTAAGTTGCGTGGTTTGAAGTTTTTTGGGGTTTTTTTGGTTCTTCTTTTCCAGAGTCACACCAATGTGAAACGCAGCTTGGAGAGAGGAAGAAGCTCACGGGACTATCACCCGTAACTGCTCACATGTTTTGAATGGTACTGTGCTCAAAGCCCTACGGCAAGCGAGGATTTTACCCCGCAGGGACACGGCTGCTCTTTTATACCCGTTTCCTGTCATAAAAAAACCCTGCAAGAAGCATTCCATAGAAACACATTTTCTTATGCAAACATTAAAAGCAGGATGAGTATATAAACTGACTACAAATGATTAATGAAAACAGTAATTAGCCCACGTAGCATTAAAGGGCTGTAGGTAATTCCGTTAAATACAACCTGCGTGCGAGGCAGTGGACATCACTCCTGACGCCAAGGACAAAGCTGAGTCAAAATTAGGGCAGGTCCTTTGATGCTCGGTGGAAAAATCCATCAATGGAGGACAACAACAAACAGACGTTTTTAACTCAATACGACCGATAAAAACTGGGCAGAGAAACCACGCGCGGCCTGAACCGCGCTGCTGAGAGAAAACGGCTCGGGAATCGCATGGTTGCCCCACGCTAGATGACAATCGTCCCTTGGGGTCCCCAATCCACGTGGCAGATGACCGCACCCCCAGGGAAGCACGAGGACCTCTCCAAACCGCAACGTGCTCCGCTTCCCCTTCTCTCCTGTGAGTTGTTCTCATGTCTGTGGCAAAACAACCACGCCTCGCAACCGGCTCTGAGCTTCCAGCACATACAGTCGAAAGCCAGGCAGAAGGCACTCCCGCCCGTTGCGAGAAGACGGAGCAAACAGACATGGAGGCATGGGATCATCCCACCTCACTTCTAAGTGAAACACTCTGGTTAGGAGCGTAGTTGTACCTCTTGGTGTCTGTTCCAGCTTCCCAACACCTGCAAGGCAGTTTCAAACTGTTCTAATGATTAACAATCTTATCAATTTTAAGGCAGTTGCATTTTGGACACGAGAACTGACAGGCTAAATTCAAAACTTCTGAAGCTCGGTCTTCTGCTTTCTCAGATCTTTTTAACAGCGCTAACTTATTAATAAAGAGGTATGTGAAACACAAGAGAAAACTCTCCTATTTTTAAATGTAAATGAGCCTTGCAGTTCACCAGCCCACTTCCAGCCGTTCTCACGCTTCCAGTCCCACTTCTGCCACTGAAACATCTTCAGGCTCCTACAATTTGGGGTCACCTACAGGTCCATCAAGCACCGCTACAGGCCACGTCAGCAGCAATACAGCAGGAACACCCAGACCCTTTGACGAAGTTTGCTTACAACAAACCACCTACTGTTGCCTAGCAAATAAGAACAAGCTCTTCTCACCTCATCCCCCCGTCAGCGAGTTCACGAGATTAGAGTCTCCCTGAACTCCTTCCCCTCCTGAATTGCGGTTGTTTCCTTTCTGTTGGAGGGGGAGGCTGGTACATGGTGGCACAGCCAGCTTGAGCATTCGGGTGCGCTTGAGGCTCCAGACTCGGTACTGTGTGTGTCTTCTACCGGCACTGCTGACCTAGTCCAGCTTTCTGGGAGTAGTGACCCTTCCTTTCCCACCTTCCTTCCTTCCTCCCCCAGGATTCTTACCGAGAAACCACCTGTATTTTACTCCTCAAATAAAAAGACAGAAAGAAATCAGACAGTGAGGGATTTTGTTCAGGCTTTCTTTTATTTTATTTTTTAGAAGTGCTGAATATTCAGAAAAC